TTAAAGTGACATTAAACCCTCAGATTTTTTAACATAAAACAATACTGTAATGTGTGCCTTACTGTAATCCATGGTTGTTTCCCTTCTCTTTGATGCTCTTCCTTTTAAATCTGTATCTGTTCTCATGCTTGGAGAGAACTTCCCTTTTCAGCAGACTGCCTTGTCTCACATGGTGTCTGTGTATCCGTTTGTATAGGCTGTAACCTGAGCCAGCACTACAGGAAGAGGCCCTGAGCTGAAAAGGGAAGTTCTCTCCAAGCATGAGAACAGATACAGATTTAAAAGGAAGAGCATCAAAGAGAAGGGAAACAACCATGGATTACAGTAAGGCGCACATTACAGTATTGTTTTTTGTTAAAAAATCTGAGGGTTTAATGTCACTTTAACTAAAACAGAGAAAAATTAGGCCACAACTTAGCTTTGCTGTCTGTCAGGGCTGTGTAAATCCCTGGTCCTGGAGGACAGAAATACAAATTCTTTGGCAGGTAACACACTTGCCGTATGGTTTTTTTTTTTACCAGCTGTACCCCAAAACAAACTAAATATATTATCTACATTTTTTTAAACAGCTACTGTAATAATAATGTTTTCAGTAGTGCTTATAAAAATATTGACATCATTGCAAAAGCTAATATAGCTGGCACTTAGGTAATGTTAATGTGTAGCATTCTAATCTAGGTAGTAGCACACTTGCCTTGCAGCTCTGAGTCCTAGGTTTGAATCTAGGACACTATCTGTTTGGAGTATGTACGTTCTGCCCCTATATGTGTGGTTCTACTATAGCTGTTCCAGTTACTTTCCATGTTTAAAAAAATTACTGGTAGGTGTATTTTCTTCCTTCAAAACTGTCATAAGGACATTCGTTTGTGAGCTCCCTGAGTGGTAGATACTCAAGTGAAGCTACCATGCAGCATATGGCCAAACGTGGATACCTTTGGCATCACACCTACTACATTGCCAAATGTATGTGGGCACCCCTACAAATTACTGAGGTGAGATGTTTTCAGTCAAGGGCACTGTTAATGCTACTTCAAAGACACTTTATACAATTGTGCACTATAGCCTTGTGGTGCCAGTTTGGGGTAGGCCCTTTTCTATTCTAGAAATATATATATCAAAGCGCCAAAGGTATAAATAATATGAAACTTGGTGCAACCAGGTGATATAGTGAAATTAGGGTTTAGGCGGTCTAGCCCTGGTTGCACCAAGTTTCATATTATTTATACCTTTGGCGCTTTGATATATATATTTCTCGATCACGGAAAGGATTCTTCCATCCTCTTTTAGAGCTGCTTTAGGTCTTAATTTACAATACATATTTCCACTTTAGTCTCTTTTCCAGTAGCGCGGATTATCTATTTCTCACCTTTTCTATTCTAGCATGGCTGTGCCCCTGTGTGCAAAGCCTCATCTCCAAAACAATCTTAGAAAATTGTCCTTTAGTTTTCTTTGTATGATCAAAATACAAATCTGCTTAGCGAGAACACAATACCAAGAGTGCAGTTGTGTAGCGGGTTATTGATCAAAAGCTATGACAAGGTTCAAAATCAGATATTTTCTGCCAGTGACGTCATTCTCAAAGTGCATACCTGTGAAGTGTCATGATTAAAGATTATAGTGTTGAGGTCTCCACAGTTGTAATGCTTGATGAGGTCTTCTGTTGTATAGGGGGCTTGAAAGCTCCCAGCCCGGAGACTCTCATGCTGCAACAATGTCTGGTTTAAAGCAAATAAAACCTGAAAATAAGAAACAAATATTCACAAAGTTAGAATCTATCTTCACAATATACAACTTTATATTAAACACACCACACAGCACCAAAAGCAATGTAAAAAGTAGTACAGAATAGTATACTGACTCAGAGCCATTAGATTTCAGTATGCTGTAAATATACCGGTAGAGGTAAGTTCCAACTGGTTGATTTAGGTAAGTGAGCATTGCACACAGTGCTCATTATCTTACCAAAGGTAGTCATGTTCAGTTGGACTTTGATTAGACCAGTCAATCAGATTTGCCAACTTCCTTTCAAGGCCACCGTGAAAGGAAGTTGGCAAATCTTACACACACATTTTTGTAACACCGATCAAACATAATATTACTTTGGCTGGCTTAAGCCTGAATATCTACACAATGACACCAGCTGTCTTTTAAAATTACAAAAGAAAGGTAAACATGTAACATGTGTTCTAGGTGCTGATGAGATGAACTAATGAGTCACAAAACCCACTGGGCAAACAACGAATATGAAGCCCCTCATAGCAACCATCAGCTACTAGCTTGGGAAAGTATCCTAATGGACATTTGATTGGTTACCATTAGTTATTAAAAACAATGGTGTACTTATGTGTCTAGCTCCTAGTTTTTAATAAAAAAAAGGGAATGTTTGCACAGCATTGTCAAATGAATTTACACTGGTCTGATCCAAGACTACGCAATCTGATATCCAACACATTGGCAGCAGAACTCTTCATATCAGACACTGACATTTGACTTTTAGTGTTATTAAGGATTCATTTGCTACTTCTTTTCTCCTGTTTGGAAGTTTGATTAGTTTTTGAGTGCAGGGTCACACTCAAGGAACTCATGGGAGAAATGTGCCAGCTTCGTCTTCAAAACAGGGGAAAGAACATAGAGGTATCAGCCAAAATCATTTAGCAACTTCAACTTATACTATGTATGGTTATTAATATTTTCTCTTCTGAAAAGGTGCAATGGAATGAGTAAAATGTTTATATTAGGCCGCAGCATCAGTTAGACAGTTGTTCTGGGCTACAGTCATTCTATATGGTGGCCCTCTTCAGATACCAGTAACTTAAGCCGTTTAGGGTCAGACAAGGAAAAACAATCGAATGTCTATGGACAGTATGTAACCTTTGCAGAGACCCGCAGGTCAACCGATTTTGGTTGACCTGCGGGTCAACCAAGACCCGAAACAATCACCTTGATAGGTTTCATCCAGTCAGTCACTATTGTTTTCCCTTAGACACAGTCACAGGGGCCTCTGCTCAGTGTATAACCATGTATTCTTGGACAAAATAATTGCATATGTTTATTTTATGATCCTTCTGCAGTATTAGAATAATAGGCTCTATAATATTAGATTGTATTTGTGATATAAAAAGTAGGGTCAAGATGTACAGTTGGCCAAAATGCATAAAGGTATGATATGCATGGCTCTGCCACTATTCTTGAATGAGAAATAAACCCTCTTTCTGTGAGATAGACCTCTCATTAAGCCCTGGGGCTTGAACTGAAAATTGGGCGTTAAAAATGCAACTATGGCAGAGACCTTGTTTTAGTCCTACTTCTAAAGACAAGTCCAACTCAAGTTGAAATAGTATTCTTTAACAGTTGGGGAAAACGTAACACTAAACTAGCCATGCAATGCTCGAATTTCAGCCACGTCCTTGGCCGAAATTCGAATAGTATGTGGTCCCCTTGCCCCCCCTTCCTGTTCGACAAAAGATGAGGCAGTATGCTGATTGTAGCCAATCAGCTTTAGTCAATGTTCGGGTATTCCAACAGAGGCAGATGTACATGAACCTTGTCACGACCAGCCTGAGTCAGTTTTTTTTGCTGTCAAGTGACTCTTTTGGGGTTGAATCTTCACTTCATCATCAAAAACCAAAAAGTGCCAGCAACAGTTGGGTTTTAAACCAACACCTACAGCATTTAAGGCTTCACATGTAACATAAAAGAGTTGTTACCGCTTCTACAGGAAGATTATAACTGTCAGCCATACAAATCAACCTTGACCCTTTTTTCACCTAAAATACATTTGGTGTCCCTAAGGAATTTAGGGTGTTACTCTCATCTCTGCCTTTCCATGTCTACAAAATTACTTACATTTTCAACTTTGACACCAGCAAAACATAGTTCTGCTTTGTTCTTTGGAGACTGATTCAAGTGAGTGTGTGCACACAATTCAGATCATTTATTCCTGAAAACCGGCTCCAGTGTAAGTGAGACTGGCACCTTTATTTAATAAGGCAAATAGCAATGTGCAAAGTACTGTAAGGGTTCTACCAATCAGGGATCATTTGCACTTTTTTTTTAAATGCTGAAAGATGTAACCTGTTATGAATTACCATACATCATATTGGTTTCTAAGATTGCTGCAGAGTCAGCTTTCTTGTCATCTGAAGAAAGCTTTGTTTACAGTTAACCTGTCACTTTTCACATGTAGGACAAATAACAGATCACCTTACAGGCCACCCCCTGTGTTGTAAATATATTTTCCCCAAAAAATGGGTTAATTTTAAGAGTTATAATACAGAATTTCTAAAAGAGAGTTTATCAAAGTGTATAGATTGCCAACATTTTAAACCATAATTCTATACTGACTTTCTGTTCCTTCTAGCCTTCTTCTATTAATCAGAATAATCTTGAAGTCGGAAAACTAACTTTTGGGAAAATTTGTTATTGCTGATGACTGAACTTCAAAAATGCTGAAGAGGAGTTTCAGCAGGGACATCATCACAGCTTGCAGGCAGCAAGGCTCCATGAGATCTATAATCCTTAGGAATTGAAAGTAAACCAAAGGAATGAGCGGAGGAGAAGACACAAAGCATGCAAGGAATCCAGCAAGTTGTTGAAGGTGATGGCCAGCAGATAGGAAGCACTCACAACATGAAAGAAGGATTTTCTGGTAAACTTCTATTAGATTGTCCAAAATACATAACTACTTTTGTATTGCGTTTTCAATGGTGATGTTATAAAAGTGTTTGCTGTTATGTTAGATCTCCTTTCAAGAAGTCCATTTAAAAATTATATTTCCGATTGGATTGAATGCTGATAGGTTGAATCATCTAAATTGAAATGCACCAGGAAGTTTAGTGATAAGATATACTTGCTGGGGTTTACACCTAGCCACCTAAGAGTTGCAGAATATGTTTTGACCGCCCTGCTGCAAGCAATGACCTACCCCCACAGCCACAAAGTATGTGAACCATCAAGACCCCTGCACCCCATTAATGTCTTCCTTTCAAAATACTTGTGTTGTAATACTTTTTAAAGTGTATCTATTGCCAAAAAGGTTTTTCTAATGATGGATTGCATATGGAAGGGTTGAATTCCCTGTTAGCTTTTTATTGCTGTCTGCCCGACAGAGGAAATTTACCCTCTCAATTTATCCGTGTCACCATTGTCACCAAGACTGAAAGTGATGGGAAATCAAAACTTTGATGAACAAAAAAGTGTGGGAAAATGGTGACAGCTTTTTAAGGAATTCCTTTAAAGAGATTTACTCTCACTTCCTGTTGTGTCTTTGAGACAAGAAGCTAAGGGAGATTTGCCCAACAGGGCACAGGCAGCAAAATAAACCGACAGTATTACCTATACATACACTTTAAACACATGTGAAATATGAGTTTCTAAACTATGACAAGTGATCTATGGGCCTGCATACCTCCCAACTTCCTGGCATAAGGCAGAGGTATACCTATTAGCACAAAGTATTTCAGCAAAGGACACACCTCTACCCCAGTCCCAAGTATGCAAGCAAGGAAGAAATAATAGTCAAACATTTTTGGTTAAACCTACATATGATTTTGTTACTGTTATCTTTCCTTTCTACTGGCTTTTAAAAAATATCAAAAACAATCATTTAGAAGTTAGATGAAAGCTTTGTGTAGTATAACACATTTGGTTGCTAAATATTCATGTTTTAAAAGTCTAAACAGCAGACCAAAAAGAGGGACAACTGAGGAGGAAAGAGGGACAGAAGGATTTAGTTCCAATAAATGGACAGTCCCTTCAAATGACAGACAGTTGGGAGCTATGGACGGTCTGTAAGAGATTCATCCTATATACAGTATATTCCTACTGTGCTGAGGCAAAGGCAGCTGAAACCACAATTAGTGCCTATATGTAATTACAAGACCGAGCTCAGTGTCATCTCACCAGAGACAACCCACCTCGGGTCTTTTACATAAACATGGCTCTCACTTACAATTTCCTTCAAGACCATTCAGGCCCTGACTTCAAAATAAACAGGCTTATTAAGCCAGAGTGCCTGAAGAAAATGCCACCTAATAAATAAAGCCTATGCTATTTACTCAAGGAAATGATGGAAAATTATTACTCAGCGTTTGGAAAAAAACATTTTGATTACCAAGATTTATGAAGCCGCCATGTCCCTCCATCTGATGCCATTTTGTCTCTGAAGTACTGCACTGTGGCACATTTCGGTTCTGAAAGAGACCTTTTTAGGTGAAGGCTTTCGACAAACATTAACTGGTGGCTGGCATAATCCATGCTACAAAAAGATTTTGTCAAATGACCTCTTCAGTTTTCATTTGGCAGCCATAATTAACATGACCTCCCATTAATCAGGGCACAATAACAGCAATGTGTGCCTTCAAGAGGAGGAATGAGGTTGGAGCTCATTAGCGAGGTCTAGGATTTGGATCACTACACTTAGATTAAGGGGATATGGGTAAAAAAACACGGAGTTTCTTGATCTGTGCGACAAGTTGGTTCTGTTTTAACCTGTGTTCCTTGGCTTGTGGAAGTTTCTTAGTTTTGGATTGTGGAGAAGAATTCAAACTTATGTCAGGTTTTTATTTTTAGTGGAAAGCAAACTATGATAAGCATAAACATGGTTGAGATTTATTGGTTGAGTTTTATTTGATTGTTGTCATCATAGTCAAAGCATTTGAGGAGGCAGTGGAGGTAAGCATGATTTCTCTTCTATTACAAGGGTCACTTTACGAGCATGCATGCTAAATAATGTGTT